TTATGGCTAGATCTGTAACTTACAAAATCACTCTCATTGTGACTCACAGTGTCTGATTCACTGAAGAGGAGTCGGGGCTTTGGCATGTTTTGTTGCAAAGGAAATTTAACCTTCATCGATATGGCACAAAAGGGAAGTAGAGAAGATGGCTGTGTCCTAGATCAGGATTTCCGGGTTCTCTGGTCAGTGTTAATCTTCCTTTACCTGTTTACAATTAACGGTTGTGAAGTCAGTGGAGACAGAGGCTCTTTGTTAAGGAGAAAATGCACAAATAGCTATGAAGAGTTACGGAGAAAGGTAGTGAGGGATGGGGGTTGCGGCACAGCGAGATCAGCCGCTGCTATAAACATCAGCTTTATTCTGATCCAGCTTTCAGCTAATGTGCCTGGAAGGGCAGCAGATGTTGGCCCAAGTGCTTGGGTCTCTGCTACTCATGCAGATGACCTACATGAAGTTCCAGGCTCTTGGCTTCTGCCTGGCTCATCCTGGCTACTGGGGGCATTTGAGGAGTGGCACAGTATATCAAAGATTCTTCTCTCTCTTTGTCCCTCTCTGTCACTTTGCCTTTCAAATCATTAAATTAGATTATCTTAAAAAAAGGGGAGATGTTAATGAATCCATTCATTTGAAGAAGTAGAAGGTTTTTATTCAAGCCTCCTCTAATTCTTGAAAGTTTCAAACCTTACTGAAAAATTGTAAGATTCTTCAGCTAGATTCATCAACTACTGACTAAAGTATTTGAAAGTCAATCTCAGACATGGTATTTCAGCCCTACAGCTTCTGCATTCAACTCCTAGCAAATTCCTACACAAATCACATCTAAGAAACTTAACATGAGTTAACAACATCACATATATGCTGTACATGTTTAAATTTCCCCAACTGTCTTCAAAACATGTCTTAGTGCTTTTTCTTTCTAACCTAGAATCTAATTGCTGTTCATTGTGCTTGGTTTCTATATATCTTTTGTCTCTTTTAATTCTAGGCTAAGTGAATATCCTTTAGTCAATATTCTTTCCTAAATAGCCTTAGCTCCCATGAGTGATCCTTGCTTGAGCAAGGTATTACACTGACCTTGCAAAATGGTTGTTTTAAAAATCTATCATTTTCCCTGTGCATTTTTTGAAGGGAAGTAGTTATAAGCTATTACTGTCTCATTATTAACTTTTTCTTTATTTTACAGAGTTACAGAGAGAGGTAGACACACAAACACACATACACACACACAGGTCTTCTGTCTACTGGTTCACTCCCTAAATGGCAGCAATGTCTGGATCTGAGCTGATCTGAAGCCAGGAACCAGGAGCCAGGAGTTTTTTCTGGATCTCCCATGTGGGTGCAGGGCCCAAGGATGTGGGTGCAAGGGCCCAAGGATATGGGACATTCTCTGCTGCTTTCCCAGGCACATTAGCAGGAGGTTGGATTGGAAGAGGAGCAGCCGAGACTTGAATAAGCACCCATATGGGATGCTGGTGCTGCAGGCTGGGACTTTAACCCACTGGGCCACAATGCAGGCCTTTATTAACTTTTTTTTGACAATCAGATTGTCTCAGATTTGGCAGTGGGATCTCCTTCAAGTGATCTCATTTGTATGGTCACACGTGTGTGTGTGTGTGTGTGTGTGTGTGTGTGTGTGTGTTTGGGACACAATCTCATTAGTGTTTGAGCACTCTATAGTTTCTGGAATAAAAATGTATGTTCTAGGCTCATTGTCATCTTTTCCTGCTCTAGACCTAAAACTAGTGACTTTTCTAAGGAGTTCTGATACCTTTTAAGGGGAAATGGTATTTAGAAACCAAGATCTCAGTGCTGGGTATTCCATAGCAAGGGGTAGATTCACATATGTGGGTCCTGATACTAATACAATTTTGGGACTTTTTTTTAGAGAAGAGGACAACAAAATTACAAATTCAGAATTAGGTATAGGACCTTAGAAGAAGTGTCTAAGTTAGGAGTTGCCATTTTAAGTTTTATAGCTTTATTGCTATTGGGATGTTATTGCTTTTATGACCTTTCTGCGAACTGAATATGTGAATCCAACAGCACATGGTTTCTTCTTAGTTTCTGTCATTTCAATTTTTTTTTTTTTTGTAAAACACAATGAACATCATGGTCTGGAGATCATCAATATATTTATTCATTCACTTTATCTTTCAGTATAGACAAAAATAGTTTCAGAATCACAACACCAACATTCCTAACTATAACCAAATCTATCAGTAAAGTTCAATATTCTCCTGCAGTTCTTAATATATTATACCTTGTTAAGGAATACAACCAGAGCTCTATGTTCAAAGGTTTTTAAATTTTCTATATGGATATATTATCAATTCAACATGCAATTAATTTTAAATGTTTTGTTTGAATTTAATTTTATTTTGTTTGACAATCTTTTTGAAAATGCAAAATGATGATTCAAGTTCAAAAAGACATACTGAGAAGTTTCACTCATACATATTCCTCTATGCTCTTCCTATCTATCCACTATAAGGAACAAAAGTTTGTTAAATATCCTCCACAAACTTTCTGGCAAAACTTTGCAAATATTCACACAATTTTTTTTATTTGACAGGCAGAGTTAGTGAGAGAGACAGAGAGAAAGGTCTTCCTTCTGCTGGTTCACCCTTCAAATGGCCAGTACGGCTGGCACACCGCGCCGATCCAAAACCAGGAGCCAGGTGCCTCCTCTTGGTCTCCCATGCGGGTGGCCCAAGCACTTGGGCCATCCTCCACTGCCTTCCCAGGCCACAGCAGAAAGCTGGACTGGAAGAGGAGCAACCGGGACTAGAACCCGGCGCCCATATGGGATGCCAGTGCTGCAGGCATAGCATTAATCAAGTGAGCCATGGTGCCGGCCCCTTCATTTTTTCTTAACAAAATGTAGTATGCTATCTACACTCTTGCACCTTTTGCTACCACCTAGTATATCCTGGCACTTATTCCACATCTGCTCATGGAGATCGTCTTCATTTTTTTAAGAGCTGGGTAGTAATCCACTGTGTGGATGCTCTACAAATTCCTTACCAGTCTCCTCTAAAGAGTCACTTTATTGTTTCCAAAAGTTAAATTACCAATTTGGAAAACTGGATAGAATGTACTATGAATTCAAACCAGAAGGAAATGTACACCTAAGCAATAAAAATAATAACTTGGGAAGAAATTGAAGCCCAGAACTCAGAAATTTTGGGTCAACTTTGCTTCATTTTCTCAACAACATTTATTGGATTTCAGGAGCTGATATTTATTTACAGCATAATTAACCTTTATGTTTTAAAGCATCTGGTTTACTGAAAATGGGTTTCTCAGTTTCTTTACAGAGGGGCTGCTTGGGTTTACAAAATATGAGGCAGTTGACCTGAGACATAGCCACTGGGAGAAAATGGATCATGGAATTCTGAGTTTCCACAATCCTTTTCACCACATACAGAGCATGTATAGATATGTCTGCAAACACTTGAAATCAGTGTTCATAGGTTCATTATAGAATTAGGGCACTTAACCAAGTAACCCAGGCTTGATTCTCAAGCCTTTATAAAAACATTCTCAAGTATTTATAAAACATACACACACATATAGGACACACACACACACACACACATAAATATTCTTTTGTGATGAAAGTGAATCAGATGAATGACTTACTATATTCTAGGCATAAATGAATCCAATTGTAAGGGGAGAATATGGAATCGAGAAAGCCAAGCTTTTCTCTTTGATTCTAGAGGAGCATAAAGTTTATTGTATCATAGCTTTTTCCTGTTGCTTTCCAGCCACTATGCAAGCAGAAGGAGGTACAGGTTGCAATGTTTAAGTCAGGTTTAAATAAATTCTTCTTTAGTGGTACCTAAACAACACAATGGAGTCCTCCTAGCGTATGCAGGAACTGTGTGGAAGGCAGGAGAAAAAAGTGAACATACTTAAACAGTCCCTCTTCCTGTCTTTGATGGAAGGCTCACGCCCAGTAAGGAGCTCTTCACATTAGTTTGTCCATAAATAACACTGCACAGTGCAAATTTGAACTTTCAAGCCAATCTCAAACCCTTAGACAACTTGAACAATAACTACAATCCTGGCAGGCCATCCGGTCTGTATTTGTCACTCAGAACGTAGAGTACTCACTATTCCAGAACAGAAATTCAAGGCTCTGGTCCTGCCTTCAGTCCTAAGGCAGTAAAGTAAGCTTACCTGGCATCCAAGAAAATATGGTTTTCTTGTGTGATCAGAAAGGCAGTAGAATTCTGAAAGCAAGCACCAGCAATTGTGTTTGATCCCCTCGCTGCAGCCGCAGTCCTGCAGGGTGTTGCAGTAAGTAAGGAACACGAGGAATGGGCCTTGGAGTCAGCCTAGGGATGGGGCTCTTGTTTCCTTCTTAGGGCCTGGGGGAGAAGGGGAGAGTATGGGGTACAGGGTGGGGATGTGGGAGCTGCGGTCTACTTAGCACCTCTTAAGCCTTATTTCCTTGTCGCCTAAGTAGGAGCCACTTATAATACTGAAAAGATCTGATGTAAAAGCGTGGGTGAACGTCTTAGCTAAGCCCCTTTACTAAAGAGTAAAGTTATTTCTAAACTGTGGTGCTTATCATTGTCATTATTGTCTTGTATTCATACTTATCACCGCCGTTGCCATCACCAGCTTCTTCACTTCTCCAGCAGCTTCGCCATTTCCCGGCCAGGCAGCTCCAGGCCTGGGTGGCCCATTTTCTTCCAGGACAGCCCTTCTCCCCCAATGGATGGCTGCTTCCCAGAGGGCAGGAGCACTCCTCTGGAAACCCTTTCTTCCCTCGTTTCGTGTGAATGTGTGTGTGGTGTATGTCTCTCTCTGTATATATATCAACCTGCCATTCCTGAGTTCAGAGGCAGACTTGCTGCCCAGGACAACCCACCAGCGCGGGCTTCGCAGTCACTCTCAGGAGCGCGCGCGGGCGCCTTTTCCGCACGCCGCTGCCCTCTAAGGGACGAGCTCAGGAGAGCAGGTCCCGGGGTTCAAGGGCTCCTACTTCTGGCGGCGGCCTCCCTCAGTCCCCGCCCTAAACTGGCTGCCGCCCGCGCGCCCGCCCGGCTGCCCTCTTCCCTCCCTCCCGTCTCTGCCCAGCCACATCTTGCACAGCCTCGCGCCCCGAGGGACCATGTCGAGGATCAGCTGGGGATACGGGGAGCACAACGGTGAGCGCCTTGCTCGGATCGAAGAGGGGGCTTTGCGCGGGGGCCGGCGAGGGGCTGGCCTGGAGGCGGACCACACACTGCTGATCTCACTTGGGAAAAACTTTTTGGTTCCTCTTTAAACCGAGCAGCACTCCTCAGAGCCGAAGGCAGGAAGCGGAGGCCGGGTCGAGTCCTGCCTGTGTAGACGGGGAAGAACCTTTGGAGGGGTTGGTACTGGGGGCGAGTTGCTCTTTTGTGCCTGCTCTGTCGGGAGTCCCCAGGCCCCCAAGTCTCCGTATCTGAGGATTTTCCCTAGTAATCATCTCGGTTAAAGACTTGGAAACGGGAAGTCCGGTGACACACTTTAAAGAAATGAGGACACGTTCCCTTTCAGTCTTTTATGTTCACTATTCACTGAGGAGGAACAGTCTTCGCAACTGAATTTAAGAAATGTTAGTAACTTGCATGTTGATACTAACGATCAAGTTGCCTTCTTGACAATCAAAATACTGAAAATTTCTTCCCTGTTACTGTAAATCACTGCCACAACCATTGCAGTTGATTGATGGCTGCTACTGGTGGCTGGATGGCTTCAGGTTCTGCCTGGAAAACAGGTTCTATTTTGAATTACTTCTCCCTGATTTCTCTCTCTCCACACTCATCCTTGCAGAGCTAGAGAATCAGCAAATGATTACTGAGATAATAATACATAGATAAAAATATGTTTATTGATAGGCGTGACATAAAGTGTATACTTTGTATATCACAAATTACCAAAATTAAACCATTGATCTTGTTTTTATGTTAAACTGGACTTTTTATTTATTTCAAGTAATAATTGTTCAAAATAATTTCAAAGTGACACCAAGAAAGTAAAAATGAATGCTGTGAATAACCATAGTCAATGTATATATTTTTCTTTAATTAGCAAATGTGTTATTGGAAAGTACTGTATAGACAAATTTTATGGAAAATTTGCCTCTAGAGAAAAGCTTTGTTTCTACTTATAGATTGAGGTTATGATTATGAACATGCTAGTTAAAAAGTGACAGTAGATGAAATTTAGAGCCTAGTAATGAAAGTTGTAATTTAGGTGGATCTCTTTTTGATTGGAACCATTGTTATAATCTTACACCTTGCTAATTTCTAATTTATGTTTTGGAAAAAAAAATCTCACAAAACTCATTTCTTTTCATTTTCCTGTCATAATTATTTTTATTATTGCTTTTAAGTAGTTGCTGGGTGCCAATAATGCCCATGCAGTGGTCAGGAAAAATAAGAGTATGTCAATGGATATTGATTGTTCTTTAATAAGGTTAGGAAATGTTGGCTTCCATGAAGCTCATCTTCAGAAATTAAAAAAATTTCATCTTAGAAAAGCCATTGAAAAGGAGTGCTTTCATATTTCAGCTAGAAGTTGCAGGGCCATTCCTTTCTTTTAGATGCAATAGCTTGCTGAGGACCACACCTTTAAGTAGGGATGGTTGGCAAAATCCTACTGGAAATGTGCTGTATCCTGACTAGGCAAGTTTTGCTGTGTTTTTCCTGTTTAGTCATTGGTGAAACCAGTAACAGCCGACCAAAGGAAACTTAAACTGATAATAGAGGTACTGATAAAATGGAGCATCAAGAAGTGAAGTCCTGGAAGGGGGCCTTCACAAACAGCTTCCAACTTCTTCCACTAACCTTTATCATTTTATTGATTTGTGTTAGGGGATGTGACATCACTGAAAATAATAGGAGTTTGCATGAATTTCCAAGTTTTTTGGCACCAAAATGAGCTTATCCTTAGCTCCAGTTTCCATAAACTGTATGAGATACCTTCGTATATCACAAAGGACATTCAAAGTGTCTGATTCTGTTGAGGAATCGCTTTACAACTCTACTTAGGAACTATGTTTAAATTGGTTTGAAATTGGATGTTTGGGAAATTTTTTTAAAAGTCTTTAAAAAGCCTTTTTAAGAGGCAGGGAAGTGGACTGACTAGTCATTAATAGATAGCATTGGGTATTTGATGCAAAGTATCATTTCTTATTTTATTTTGATTTTACTTTTCTGAAAACAGTTGTAAAGGACAGGAAATAGGAGCGTAAAGGAATCAGGAAGAAAAATAACTCTTTCAGGATTGTAAAAATGTCAATAACATGTGACACTTGTTTTGCATGTTTGAAATCTGCTTATTAGATTAACTCATACTTGGTGGCTGTGGAATAGAAAACTCTTTCTACATTCAAAGAGAGAGAGAGGGAGGGAGGGAGAAGGAGGAGGAGGAGGGAGAAACTAGATTATATACAGAAAGAGAACCAAGAAATGTAAATGAAATTATTTAATGAATATGGAAACATGCCTTTTCTGTCATATTTTAAAACCCAGACTTTTGATTTTTAGAGGACATTTGTTTTGAGTCCAAAGTGTCAGATGCATCAGAGGACAACTCTTTACCCAAGTATGTGGTTCTGTATTCATGCTATGGCTTTTGCCACCTGATTGTATGTGAAAGACATTAAGTATGCTTTCTCCTTTGCAAAAATAAAGAGTATTAAGCATTACATTTACAGCTTGAAACTGTAGATGATTGTGATCTGTTGCATTCCATTAAAATTGCACTCTAAATTTTATCATTTTAGAATGTTTGCTGTTGTTAGTAACAGATGTTTACTTAGTTGGCATGTTATTCTAATTAGAACTTGATATTTGCAGAAAATGTGGTGAGTGAAATAGGAAAAATCTTAGTAGCCCCATGTCTTATGTGATGATAACTGTGTAAATTGCAGGTATAGTAGAGAAGAGAAAATAAGAACCTCTAACTTATAAAGTGGCTCATATCTGTAGAATAAGCTGGAGCTTGCTATTGATTTTGCAAGACAGAACTTGAATAGACTCTCTCAGAAAAATGAAGAGGCCAGACAAAGAAATTGTCAGCTTATTGACCTACTTCAGTTTACCTCTCATGTGTCTAATGTGTGAACTTGATGCAATTTTGACTTTTTGAATAGAGGATCAGGATTACAGTTGTCCCTTATGTTGGACTTGAAATGTAGCATTGGCACAATAATTACAGTAGCATCTTCTGAAATGTAGCTAGAAATAGATTGCAACCCAATTCTACTACATATTGTCAGTATAGTAATCTCAGGATATTTCAGAGAGCTGCAGAAAAATAGAACTAAAGGAAAATTTATTTTGATGCAGAAAGGATTTTTCCATACTATATTTTTAGAAACTTTCAGAAAACCCTTGGTATGCAGAGATTTCACAATTTTAAATCCATGAGAAGATACCAGGGACTTATAAAAGAAATAGTAGGATGGGCAGTATCTTTAAGAATGATACTAAAGAAACACTCAACACAATGAAGAATCTACTGACAAAATGGGAGGAAATATTTGTAAACTATGCAACTGATAAAGGATTAATATCCAATATCTACAAAGAGCTCAAGAAACTCAACAACAACAAATCAAACAATCCAGTTCAGAAATGGGTAAAGGACATGAACAGGCATTTCTCAAACAATGAAATTAAAATGGCCAACACATACATGAGAAATTGCTCAGGATCACCAGTCATCAGGGAAATGAAAATAAAAACCACAATGAGGTTTCACCTCACCCAAGTTAGATTGGCTATCATCCAAAAATCAAGATTTTTTTTAAAAAAAATTTTAAATGCTGGTGAGGATGTACAAGAAAAGATACCTCAATACACTATTGGTGGGAATGTAAAGTAGTATATCCACTAAGGAAGATAGTATGGAGATTGTTAAGAAATCTGAAAATAGCTCTACCATCTGACCCAGCCATCCCATTTCTAGGAATTTACCCAAAAGAGATGAAATCATCATATGAAAATTATCTGTATCCTCATGTTTATTTCAGCTCAATTCACAACAGCTAAGATATGGTATCAACCCATATTTCCATCAACTGATGACTGGATAAAAAATGTGGTGTATGTATACTATGGAATACTATTCAGCCATAAAAAAGATGAAAGAAAAAGGAAAGGTGGGGGAGTGATTGTGGTAGGGAATGGGAGGTAGGGAGATATGTATGGTTATCTTCTTGGAACTCTATCTATGAAATATGCTTTCTTTATATTAGTAGAAAATTTTTTAGAAAAGACTGATACTCTTTCTTTGATCCTCAGCTTTCTCAGCTCCTCTCACTCACCCAACCCTATATACTTGTCCTCTGGAGTGTGACACATTCTTGAAACTGAGACTCAATCTCATTGTTTTCAATGATAAATTATACTATTGTTTTTAGTTTGGTAAGTGGTTATCTTTGAAAAATAGTTTATAAAATTTATGTGGTCTTATGGCTGAAGGGTTAGTTTTATTCTGAAAATGACTTAAAGCAAACCAGTTTCCCACATCCCAAATAAAACAACTAGTCTTGCTTAAATAAATAAATAAAAACATAAAGGATACCAAAATCCTGATGATGAGGATCTTATTTTATTATTTTTTAAAAAAATCTCAGGCACAGTGCATAAGACTCATCAAATACAGCAAATATTTGTTGAGCAAAAGAATTTACTTAGTCCTTTCTTTTTCTTTTGGTCTTTATGTTTAAGGTCCTATTCATTGGAATCAGTTCTTCCCCATTGCTGATGGAGATAAGCAATCCCCTATTGAAATTAAAACCAAAGAAGTGAAATATGACTCTTCCCTCCGACCTCTTAGTATCAAGTATGACCCAAGCTCAGCTAAAATCATCAGTAATAGTGGTCATTCCTTCAACGTTGACTTTGATGACACAGAAGACAAATCAGGTTGGTTGGTGCTTTCTTTTTTTTTTTCTTTTTCCTTTTTGGTGGGGATTGAGCAGTTTGGATGATTGGACCAAATATTTCAGATTTTATTTATGCTAGACCTGGGATTTGCCAAATTGAAGCACACTTTAAAAAATTAAAAAGAATTCTATTTATTTGAAAGGCAGAGAGTTACAGAGAGACAGAGGCAGAGAGAGAGAGGTCTTCCATCCACTGGTTCACTCCGCAGATGGCAGCTACGGCTGGAGCTGGGAAGATCTGAAGCCAGGAGCCAGGAATTTCTTCCGGGTCTCCCACGTGGGTGCAGGGGCCCAAGGACTTGGACCATCTTCTACTGCTTTCCCAGGCCATAGCAGAGAGCTGGATCAGAAGAGGAGCAGCCAAGACTAGAACCGGTGCCCATATGGGATGCTGGCACTGCAGGCTGCAGCTTTACCCACTATGCCACAGCGACGGCCCCTTAAAATTTTTTAAAATATATTTGACAGGCAGAAAAATAGGAGGATATATAGACAAAGAGAGAGAGAGCTCCTAAAAGCCCCTAATGATGGAGTCTGAGGCAGAAGCAAAGCTGAGAGTCAGGAATGCAATCCTGGTTTCCCATGTAGGTGTCAGGAATCCAATTACTTAAGCCATCCATTTCTGCCTCCCAGGGTTTGTATTAGCAGGAAGCTGGAGTCAGGAGCTGAAGTCTTGTATTGAACCCAGGTACTCAGATATGGATTGTGTGGTCTTAACCAGTGTGTTAACTACTAGACCAAATGTCTATCCCCACATGATTTTTTCTTCATGTGAATTGAGATATTTTGTTATATAATTAGACCTTATAATTCTACTGTAAATTATACAGAGGGGGTATTCAAGGATACATTGATTGATATTCTATTATATAATGTTATTATAACTTGTTATCACATTGCTTAGCATTTTTCATTGTGAAAATATTGAAGTATAATACTATTTTATCAATAGTTATCAATTTATTTTTGTAAAAATTTAAGTTATTTTAGTGTTTGTAAATCTGTAATGCTGATTAGTTTGTAGCTTAATAGAAAATGATTTTTTAAAAATATTTTTTCTTATTTTAATTGCAAAAGCAATATACCTCCAGAGTAAATAAAACAATACAGAAAGGTATGATAAAAAATTAACAAGTTTCTTTCTCCCCACAGTGTCTCCCAATGTAACCAATGCTATAGTCTCCCTAATATTTCAATGCTTAGCCATTCATATACACACATATATCTGTTTTGCATTTTTTCATTAAAAATGAATTTAAAATAATATTATAATACTCTGAATACTTTTCCCCACTTGAAAGTTTCAAAGATATCTTTCCAGGTTAAAATATGCAGATCTGACACTCTTATTTTAAAAGATGAACTGTATCAGTTATGCTGATATAGAAATACCTATCCACTATCCACTTCTTATTAGTACTTGGCAAGAACTTGTTATAAAAAAAAATTTTTTTTGATTGACTAGTTTACATTGTGAATAAATCACTGACCCATAAATGAAACTTTAGTTTGTGAATTTGTTTACTAAGTGAAGAAAAGAATATTTGCTTGCGATGAACATTTAATCTTTCTTCAAGCTTACCTATTGCCCAAGTATGAATACTGTCCAAGAAACCATGTTTAGAAATAAGATGGGAGAAATATATCATGCTTTCAAACACTTTATAAGGCCCTGAGAAATAGTTTTAACTTTTAGTCAGATATTAGGATGATGTCATATTTGATCTATTCATAAAAAATATAGTTAAGTTTTAAAAACCCTTAATTGGAAGAAAGTTTTCACTTACTGTTTAAAGATTTATTTATTTATTTGAAATATAAAATGACAGAGAGAGGAAGAGACAGAGAGAAAGAGATTTTCCATCCACTGGTTCACTCTTCAAATGGCTGCAACAGACAACACCGGACAAGGCTAAAGCCAGGAGCCAAGAACTCCATCCTGTTCTCCCACATGGGTGGCAGGGGCCCAAGCACTTGACCATCTTCTGTTACCTTCCTAGGCACATTAGCAGGGAGCTGGATAGAGGGCAGAGTTGCTAGGACTAGAACCTACCCTTGGATATGAGATGCCAGCATTGCAAGTGGTGGTTTAAGTTGTTGTGCTGCAGTGAGGTCCCCTTCAAATATTCTGTAAGCTCGTATTTCATTTATGAGATTATATTTGTTATTAAGCTCATAATATTCTGTATTTCTATAAATATTGAAATTTAGAAGCTTTCTTTTTAGCAAAAAGTTATGTCTGCATACTTTTTTTTTCTTCAGAATTTTTAAATTCAAAGAAGAGATACATTTTTACAAAGAAAAATTTACAGAGGATATTTTCAACATTTTGGGGGTGAGGGAGCTGGCCTCTTTTTTCTTTTAAACATTTATTTGAAAGTCAAAGTTACAGAGAAAGAGAGGGAGAGACACAGAGAGAAAAAACTTCCATTCACTGATTCAGTCCCCATGTGGCTGCAATGGCCAGGACTGGGTCTGGTCAAAGCCAGGAGGCAGGAGGCAGGAGGCAGGAGCCAGGAGCTTCATTCGGGTCTCCCATGTACATGGCAGGACCCCAGACAATTGGGCCATCTTCCGCTGCTTTTCTCAGACCACTAGCAGGCAGCTGGTTCAGAAGTAGAGCAGCTGGGACATGAACAGGTGCCCATATGAGATGCCAGCGTCCCAGCCTACACCACAATGCTGGCCCCGACTTGGATTTTTATACCTATTCATTTGTATTTTCTTCAAGCCCTCAGCTTTGTGAATCTATGTTAATAGATGTAATTGATATAATGAATACACCATCAAAGTAGCCCAAGCCTTCTAAACACAGAGTGTATACAACCATAATCATAGCTTGATATTGTTTATAAGATGTAAAAACATAAAAAATACTAGTTAAGTACCCTAAGTGGTGAAAAATTGTGAATTTTATCCATGATGTTCATTCATTCATTCATTTTTTAAAAAAATTTATTTTATTTATTTGAAAGAGTTACAGAGAAGGGGGGGGGACAGAAAAAGAGAGAGAGAGGTCTTCCATATGATGGTTTACTCTCCAAATAGCCACAATGACCGGAGCTGAGCTAATTCAAAACCAGGAGCCAGGAGTTTCTTCTAGGTCTTCCATGTGGGTGCAGGGGCCCAAAGTCTTGGGCCATCATCCGCTGCCTTCCTAGACACATTAGCAGGGAGCTGGATTGGAAGTGGAGCAGCCAGGACTGGAACCGGTGCCCATATGGGATGTCAACACTGCAGGCTGGGGCTTTAAGCCACGACACTACAGCACTGGCCCCGTTCATTTTTTCTTTATCACTCTTTCTCTCTGTATCACCTATTTCTTGCCTGGGTTTCCAAATTCAATACTTAGTCATCAGTTTTGTATGTCCTTTCTCTAAAATGAAGGTCTTGTTCCTATCTAGATCACAATGAAATTACCAAGATTAATTGAAAATGTTCATAAAGCACTTTGTTCTCTTTGAGACAGAGCTATAAAAAATAGGTCACGATTCTCATTTTTTTTCTCAAGATAAACTCAGCGAAATAATTTCATGGTGATTTTAGGAACTAAATCTATTAGAAAGTAGAAACCACCATTACAATAAACTGTGGCTGATTTTTCTTGCTCTTTGGTAAACTATAAGAAACACTAAAAAAAGTACTTTGTATAGCAAACCACTTTAGTTTGTATAGAACAGTTTCTATTTTGTAAAGAAATCATTATTGACCAAAATCAACTCTGAGTCCCTCCAGTCAACAAGCCACAAGCATGGAATCCTCCTGGACCTTGGAGGTTTCCTTTGGCTGGGGAGATGTGTACTCCATGGAGAATCTGCAGGAACTACCCTTCTAAATTTGGATAGTCTTTTATGTAAGTTACAGGTGAATATGAAATCTTTATGAAGTGTCACTATCACTAGGAAATGGTAATCTGATGAGGCTAGATATGGCTGCTCCCATTCAAACTCCTGGTTCTTCTGCAACCAAATTGGATCTCATCTCTCTGGGAACCTCACCTGACCAGCCCTGCTGCCCTCTGTGGCTCCTTTGGCATCGTGTCCTATCACAGAACTTTCACTGTGTTGAAACTGCCTGTTGGCTTCTCTGTCATTCCACTGAACTAAAGGCTTCCTGTGGTCAGAAGCTAGATCCCAAATATTTATGGCATTTCTCTTTGATTTTTGAATCTCTATATCTCTTATATGAGTGTGTTATTTGGAATAGGTTTTTTTTTTTAATCCAAATGAAAAGGTAAATGAACTATCCATGCAAAATGTGACTTTGGAGAAATGATTATTTGTTTTTAAACATAAAATGAAAACAATGGTACTTATCTAGATTGGAAGATATGAAGAATAGATTGACACTTGAAAATAGATTCATTAAAAATCTTTTTTTTTTTTTTTGCCATTTTTCATTTTGGACCATATTAGGTGTCTTGTTACAGACTATCTCAAAGTCAGTTTTAAATAAATCTTGATATTTTGACTCACTTTTTCCCTCCCTATAATTTTTGAGAAGAACATTGCTTTAAGAGAATGATCTTTTCCACAATTAGACATTGATTGATCATAACTTCAGTTTGGATACTTTAGCTGAAACACTCAACTGTGGAGTTCAAATACACAAAGCTTTAGGCAATCTTCATTGCTTCACTAAGCAGAGCTGTGGCAATCAGGCTTAAACCTGAGCTCAGAGCTGAACTCCCAGAGATTAGCCCTTATTCTTGGATGTTTCCCTAGCCATGTATGCTTCTCTGTGTCACTTTGTTTCTCTGAAGTCAACCTGCTTGCACCTTCTCCCAAAGTCAATTCCACCTTAATTGCTCAATCTCTCTAATCTCCTTTTTATCTGTAAAGGAATAACTTTATGGTTCAGACCAGGTTTTATTATGCAATGGCAAGGGGAGAAAAGGACAATAGAGCTGTTGATTTCTCTTGCTTTGGAACATCATTCCATCATAATCTATATAGATTATGTAATATTAGGGAATATGAGATCACTTAGAGAAAGATACCTTTTAACTACATTTACATGTGAATCATCTTGAAATTTTGTTTAAAGACAAATAAAATATTTTATTCATTTGTCCATGGAATATATATTATGCATATTCTCTGTGGTAGTTACTGTATTAGGAGATGGTATAGTAGGGACTCAGGCAATCTGTGCCCCCATGAACATGGCTCATTAGGAAAAGAAACCGAAAAATCATCTGCTTATAATAGAGTAAAAGAAGAGGGAGCCCTAAAGTCTAACTTACAGGTTTCTGTCTCTCCCGTTTTGTTTTCAAGCACTTTGAAAACAGCTAATGATTTAATGCAATGAAATTTGGACTCAAATGCATCTAAAGGAAGCACATCGTTCAACCTCCCAAAAAAGTTTTACTACTTATGCTCACAATATTTTTCCTCTGCAGTTTTGGAAATCATAGCAGTTAAGGATCATCTAGTCCAAGCTCCTAATTAAAGATAGGCAAGTAAGCACAAAGTAGACAAGGGGATGGTTTTTGTGGTGCAGCGAGTTAAACTTCTGCCGGGAACACCCGCATCCCAGTCAGAAGGCTCATGGATTCCCTGCTGCTCTGCTTCTGATTCTTGCTAATGCTCATGGGAAGCAGCAGATGGCTCAAGTACTTGAGTTCCTGCCTCCCTTGTGGGAGACACAGATGGAATTGGTGGCTTCCGGCTTCAGTCTTACCCAACGCTGGCTATTTAGGGCATTTGGGCAGTGAGCTAGTGAATGTCAGATCGATCTCTCTCTCCGTCCCTCTCCCCCTTTCAAATAAATCAATCAATAAATCTTTTTTCCCATTTCATTCCTATACATTTTTTTGATGTTCTATATTAACTACCACATGTCAAAGAAACCACATGATATTTGTCTTTTTGGGACTGGTTTGTTTACTCTAAGCATAATGAATTTCAGTTGCTTTTTTTTTTTTTTTGCAAAACACAGGATTCCATTCTTCTTTATGGCTGAGTAATATTCCATAGTGCATATATACCAGTCTTAAAAAAATAATAGACAAGAAAGCTGAAGTCCAGAGAGGTTTACATGAGTTTTGAAAAATCATAAAATTTAGTGGCTGAGATACGACTGCTCCCAAGTTTCCTTTACTACAAGCAATATCCAACTCTTTAGTGTTTTATTTTTATTAATTTATTTGAAAGGCAGAGAGAGATCTTTCATTTGCTGGTTCACTCCATAAATGCCTGCAATAGTTGAGAATGGTCCAGGAACCAGAACTGCATCTAGGTCTTTCACATGGGAGGCATCACCTTTTGCCTCCCAGGCTGTGCATTAACAAGGAGCTCCAAATCTGGAGCAGGGACTTGAACACAGGCACACTGATGCGGGATGCAGGCATCCCAAGCTGTAGCTTAATAGATGTACCGTCCTATCCATTTCCACTACACTCTTAATCACTCACATTCAACTTCATCAAGTCAAAGCGAATAAGGTAGAAGTAAGTTCTTTGCTTGTCAGTAGTCTGGATCATCTCTTCTCTTACAATATAGCTCATTTTTTTTTTTATTTATTTTTCCTTTTTCTGTCTTGCTGTGTACAGAAAACTGCATGTGATAATTCCTAATGTCTCATGATTTGTGTATAGCATAGTTTACTCTTGGCCATTTTTGAGACAATATTTACATGATACATCTGAAGAGGAGAGAAATTAAGCCAAACTGTTGTGAAGGTGCTACACCAATAACAAATTCTACTGGATATTGATGTATGTATAATATTGCTTGTGGAGTGTTCAACATTTAGTGCTTCCTTATCCTCTTATATCCTTTCAGCATGCCCAATAAAGATTAATCAAGAGGAGACAGTTTAGGGCCAAAGTTTTCTATTAAGAAGCTTTTCTGTGTACTTAAGATAGGATTCTATCATCATAGTTTCAGAGATCATATTTACTGTGGAACAGTACTAAAGAGTACTTTGCCAAAGGAACAAAACTATGATTTTATTTTAAAAAGTTAATGCAGTCATACTATATTTATTATTTTTCCAAACATTTACACTTCTAGATGGAGGATGGGCTTGCTTGACAAATTTTGTAGTAATAATGGTAACAACAATAAGATGATAATAGTGGGTAACACATGTACCATGCTGTGTGCCAGGCAGTGGGTAAGTGCGTTACATTCAATTTTTCTAAAATTTTTATGACAGCAGTAGGAAGAAGTCTCATGAAGACTGAAACTAAAGAGTTAGTGTTTGTGCCAGATGACACATTTTATAAAAGAGGTGTGAGTCCAGCTCTTCTAATCACCAAAACCTATGCCCTAACCATGATGCTGCACTGCTCTACCCAACTCAGCTGAACTTCTTTGTGTATGATGTCCTTATTCAGAGAGGTCAGCTTATCCTCAGTAAACAGGAATTCTTTGCCTTTCAGCATTTCTAACTTGTTCCCCCTTCTGACCAAGGTGTCTGCCCTGGTTTGGATGTAGTTTGCCTCTGCCAAAACTCATGCTGAAATTTAGTTGAAAGGTGGTAGGACCTTTGAGAAAGTATCAGGTTGTGGAGGCTCCATCCACATGAAAGGATTAATGTAGTTTCCATGACTGTGGGTTATTTTTGCCTTCCTTCACCTCACACACATTCTTCTCTTTGCAAGTGCCTGCTTCCCCTTCCCCTTTTCCGTCATGTTGTGAGGCAGCAAGAGGCCCTCACCAGAAACTGAACAGATTCCAGTGGCATGCTTTTGGACCTTCAGAACTACAAGCTAAATAAATTTCTTTCCATTATGAGCCACTCATGCTAAGGAATTCTGTTATATCAATAAAAAACAAATATAGATCTGTTTTGACTTTCCAGTATTTCTTAAAAATCTATATTATAGACTCTATATCCTTTTAAAATGTTTTGTTTTCACTTGCCCTATACCTAAAGTCCTATTCCTGTTGGCAAACTGAAGGATGCATAGGTAAAAAATTCCTTGGAGGACATTCATGGCAATGTATGTTGTAGCAGCTCATGTAAAGATTTTACTTTTGCTAACAGTTTAAAATGTGTTGGTGTTTAGTTCTGCGTGGGGGCCCTCTCACTGGAAACTACAGGTTACGACAGTTTCACCTTCACTGGGGTTCTGCTGATGATCATGGCTCTGAGCACGTGGTGGATGGAGTGAGATATGCTGCAGAGGTAAGTCATCAGACCCATCCTACGTGGTGGAACTTAAGGGGGTGCAGGGAACTACTCTCCTGAGACCAAATAGAGCCTGAACCACTTAGGTATTTCAGTGTCTGAAAGTGCTTTATTCATTCAATGTTAGAGCTTCGAATGGGGCCCTTCTGAGCCTTAAACTAATCCTGGGAGCTTAGAGTTATATGTTCCCATTTTAGAAATCAGTAAACTGGAGACTTGAAGAGATTAGATAACTTATCCAGCTAGAAAACACTGAGATGAGTCCAAACCTAGTTCTGTCTGATATCAGATTACCAACTCTTTCTACTGTATCTGTTTTATCTTCTGAAAGGCAAGTGAGAAGGGAGAGAGAGACATATACAAAGTCCTCAGAAGGTTCATAAAGATACATAATATGAAAACACTGCATGGATTTCAAATTTTTTGTACCAAAATAAATTTATCTTTTAATGCATTTTTACATGAACCTTTTGAAGTGCCTTAATATTTGTTTTAGGCCAAGCTCTGTGCATATTTGGTTCACACACAAATATATACTAATATTTAAAGCCTACATTAAATAAGTAATAGTAAAAGGAAAAGTTACAAAAAGAAAAAAATGCAAAGTCATAAACTTTCCTAAACTCTAAATTCCTCTACATTTATAGAAATAAAATGAAATCTTTGTTAGTTTATACAGTCATTGGTAAAGTATAACACAATAAAGCATTCATTAACTGTTTTTCATTGGGATTACTTTTTCATTAATAATACTCTCTACTTTTCCTAAGCCCGTTGAAGGACAAGCTATAATATGGTTCAGGTTTTAATACGATTAAATACTGTTAACATCCAACTTCATCATGAAATAAAAGAATTTTTATGACTCAACCAAAGCTATTCAAGTGAAAATAGTTTGACTTGTGAGTTGTCTAGGCAAGACCTGCAAAGCTTCCAGGCAAATACAGTTTTTTCTTCATTTTCTCCCAGTTACTCAGCTGTGGAGTTTAGACACGCTTGTATAGCCCTAATTTTAAAGAAATCCTTTTCAATTTTATTCTTCCAGTCACTGTACTTGGCCTCTTGAGGCTGTCATCCAAAATATCCATTTTGCCAACTCAGTCACTTTTGTTTAAGGCCAAATGCCTTACAGTTGGAACCTGCTCTGTCCATAAGGAAGAAGACTAAAATGCACATACAGAATGTTCAATGGTGGTGAAAAAATGCCAAGAATGCAGAAAGGGAGACCCCTGCATCTGTACAGTGTCTCAGTTTAGACTATCTACTGAATTGTTTTCAAGTTTGCTTTCTAGTTTTGTGTTTCAAAGTTTTAAAAATTTGTGGTGTTCTAAATCCCAAAAGTTCTGTAGAGATTAAGATATGGCCATTTTAGATCACTGGTCTCTCATTTTCCATAGCAACTCAAAAATTGGCCATGTTGCCTTATGGATGCACCTTATACTTTCATAAAATTCAAGTACACTTATTCTCAGAGAGGTTCACTGCCAGTTTGCAAGTTGCTTCCTGAAATTTGTCAGAGGCTCAAGGTCCTGATTTGGAGATCCACAGCTGTGTTTGTAGATAATAAAGCCTTGACTGGAGTTTCATGGTGCTACATCATATGTATTTAAGGGTATTTCTTATTTCATTGATTTACATATTCATTAATTCATTCATAATTCACTCTGTAAGAATCCATTCAGAACCAGCCTTGTCCCAAATCTTGGCACAGCTTACTTAGGCTATCCTAAAAGGAGTGCTTGGAAGAGTTAGGGATGCCACAAGCCTTCAAAACCATGCAGCCTAACCAAGGCTTTGGGTCAGAGTATTCTTTTTTTTTTTTTTTTAATTTTTTTTGACAGGCAGTGTGGACAGTGAGAGAGAGACAGAGAGAAAGGTTTTCCTTTACCGCTGGTTCACCCTCCAATGGCTGTTTCGGCCGGCGTGCTGCGGCCGGCGCACCGCGCTGATCCGAAACCAGAAGCCAGGTGCTTCTCCTGGTCTCCCATGCGGGTGCAGGGCCCAAGCACAAGGGCCATCCTCCACTGCACTCCCGGGCCACAGCAGAGAGCTGGTCTGGAAGAGGGGCAACCGGGACAGAATCCGGCGCCCCGACCAGGACTAGAACCTGGTGTGCCGACACCGCAGGCGGAGGATTAGCCTTTTGAGCCACGGCACTGGCCGGTTCAGAGTATTTCTAATACCAAGCCTGAAGTATGAAGAAGAGTGAGTCTGGCAAAGGGAGAACTAGCATTAGTCCTGCACAGAACCATAGCTGAGGACCAGGGGTAGGAAAGGCACCATACAGTTAAAGAACAGAATTGCTTGTGGGATTAGAGCTTGGAGAACTAAAAGGTTGTCAGAGGTAGGGTTGAAAAGATAGGAAAGGGCCTGGTCTTATTGTAGTAAGTCATGGTAAAGAGTATGAAGTTTATTCTAATTGCAGAATGAAGCCATTGAATGGCTTTAAATTGTGAAATGATCATATTTGTATTTAGAAAGTAACATTCAAGGTATAGCTTCAGACTAGATTTGATTGAAACAGGATTGTTTGCAAGGTGTGCATCAAGATGCCCTTGAAAAGTCCTAGGTCATAGAGGAGTATGGTAGGGGGCTAACTGGCTGAAGTGCTGGCTTCAGTGGGACCTGATTATTGGGATTGGGAAGAGGGAGAGGAGGGGTCAGTGGTTTGAGATAGGCAACACTTGGTAGAGTGGTAGAGGTAGACAATAAGTAAGTGGTAGGTGGTAAGTTCTTTGGTAGGAATGGTATCCCATGACCTTGTAGAGTAACTGAGGGGTTAGTAAAAGACTCTTTGAGATGATGCATGAGTTGAAATTTAATGACAAGAAAACAGTATGAGAATATCTAGAGAATTTTCCAGGATGTGAGAACAAGAGGAAATACTGTAAGGCAGAAATGAGCTTCATATGTTCAATAAAGGAAAGGCATTGGCCTTATGCAGTTGGAATCAGAGAGAGAAAAGTTGTGAGCTATGTCCCAGAGAGGCAGGCAGAGGCCGTGCCAGGTTGGGTGTTTTTGGGCACTGTGAGCAGTTTAGACTTTATCTTTAATGGAGTATGAGGAAGACAATGGAAGGTTTTGAGCAGTAGAATGACAAGTTTTATGCTTCATAAACTACAGCTGACTACAGTGAGGAGACGAGACTGATTCCAGGCAAACATTGGAGCAGGAGAGAAATCAAGCAGTTACAGAAGTAGTTCAAATAGGCAATGGTGGTAATTGGACTATGGGGAGGGTGAAGATGAAGTGAGCTGGGCAGATGCATCACATATTTGGAAGGTAAAGTTAATGGGATTTAAAAATGAAAATGATGTTGGGATTGAGGAAGCAAAAAGATTCTAGGAACAGCCTGAGATTTTGGCTTGAGCAAGCTGGGGAATGCTTATGCTATTTACTGTGATGGGCATGTTCAAGGAGGAACAGGTTGTGGAGAGAATCAACTCTCTGTTCTGAACACGTTAATCTTCAGATGCTTATTAGGCAGTCTAAGCTCCCTTTCAGGTAGGTCCTTGGATAAAAACCTGGGATCTAAAGAAGAGGTTGGCACTGGATGGTGGCATTTGGTTTCCTCTACCAAAGAATCCCTTTGTGCTCAGCTTTAGGAAGGATTCCAAGATGTTAATTAGTTTTTCCAGATATTTTTGTAACTAAGTTCATGGCTACCATCAAGTTATGACCCCTTGTAAAATGGAAACAAGAAGTGAAATAAAGAAAACCCATCTAAAGTTTCAATAATAAGCATTTACTTTGGGGTCTAATATGATGATTTATCATATATGATGTATATCTATCTATCTATAAAGTAAAATGATCTAATTCATGAAAAATTTTATCTCAGGAATTATGCATCTAGAAAAACAAGGCTAATAGTCCATTCTGTGTTTGGAACATTATCTGGTGGCAGCTTCTACAGAATACATAATATATATATTAAATATGTAGTTAATACTGAAATTATGATTTCAACACTCATGGAGGAATTTTGGAATAGTGCTTGGCATAGTCACTATTATACAGTTTGAAAATACTAAAGTTGAATAATATTATTTAAGAATTGTTTTTAGCTGGTGCTGCAGCTCACTAGGCAAATCCTCCGCCTTGCAGCGCCAGCACACCGGGTACTAGTCCCGGTCAGGGCGCCGGATTCTGTCCTGGTTGCCCCTCTTCCAGGCCAGCTCTCTGCTGTGGCCAGGGAGTGCAGTGGAGGATGGCCCAAGTGCTTGGGCCCTGCACCCCATGGGAGACCAGGAGAAGTACCTGGCTCCTGCCATCAGATCAGCGCGGTGCGCCGGCTGCAGCGTGTGGGCCGAGGCGGCCATTGGAGGGTGAACCAAGGGCAAAGGAAGACCTTTCTCTCTGTCTCTCTCTCACTGTCCACTCTGCCTGTCAAAAAAAAAAAAAGAATTGTTTTTAAATAGGGAAGAATCTTATTTCCATTTTTGCATGGGCTACAAAAACTTATTACCCAGCTCAAGTCACTGCTTCTGTCATTGGTAGCCAGGAACTGTGAGTTGGTTATTTATTTCTTTGAATTTCATATACAAATGCTAATAAAGGTGAAATGATATTAGTTCCATGAATGTATTGCTGCCAGTTAAGCAAAGTGTGTGGGGGAGAGGACTTACTTAAAAAAAAGATTGATTTTCTTGCTCTAGTTTGCCATCATATTTCAAATAATTGTTGCCATTTAACAAGCTGAAGAATGATTGTGTGTAGGAGATATATACATCTCTCATTACTTACACATTCATTTCATAATCCATCCTAAAGATGTCACTACACATTTTTCTGTCTTCTAGGTGTCATATTTTTCTAAGTGAACTTCTGCATTGGCACAGAGCCTAAAATAACTTTAACATTCAGCCCCTCCCTGACAGTGGGACATCATTTATCTCCTGTGAGCCAAGGGAACTTTATTTCATCATCCAAATGTTTTCAGGTTTCTTTCCTCCCCCAGCTATCTCACACCAACTTGGAACAAGGCATGACAAGAATCCTGTCGTATATTTTCTGTCTGAATATCTCATAGTCTTCCTTGATTGTTTGTGGATGTCATATTGTTGAATTCATGATAATTCCCATCCATCCTGAAACCCCCTCATATTGCTTGCCTATGGGACATAAAGCTATGTTTAAAGCATGGGATGCATTTGAAGATACTGAATTCCCTGGGTAACAGTCAGCAAGAAAGACAGTTTGGGCATGAAGCCCATGTAAGTGTTCTTGATATGTCAAAAGGATTCATTAGAAGAAGACTGACTTAGTCAGCTTGTCATCACTACAAATAAATAAGTAGAGAATAAATAAGTAGAGAAGCTACTTATGAAGGAAGAAGGTCTATTTCCAGTCAAAGGTTCATAGTCAAAGATTGAGTGGCCCCTTTGGTCCTGACATCTGATGAGGGCAGTGGATGGTGGAAGTGCCAAGAGAGTATGGCATGGAGACCGAGGAAGCAGAGGGAGGGAGCAAAGGAGCCCCACCCTGATGTTCCTATCTAATGCAATGACTTTTTAAAAAAGTGTATTTATGTGTTTGAAAGGCAGACTGACATAGACAGGGGACGCACACACACACACATTCATATACACACACAGACACACGCACACACACATACACAGATGTTCCAACCACTGCTTCACTCCCCAAATGCCTAACAACATAAAGCTGGGTCTGGAACAGGCTGAAGCCAATAGCTAAGCCAGGAACTCTTCACAGGTCTCCTACAAAGGTGTCAGAAGCCTAAGTACTTAGGCCATTGTCTGCTGCCTCCCAGGCGCATTGACAAAAAGCTGGATTGTAATGGAGCAGCTTGGACTCAAACTAGTAGTCCGATACGGGATGTGGGCATCCTAGATGGTGGCTTAGCCTGCCACCCCACAATGCCTGACCCCCCAGTCACTTTCCAGAGGCTGCATCTTCAGATCCCCATAATTGGATCAAGCTTGTACCCTATCAGTTCCATCAATCCATGACTTTGGGACTTGAACATCTGCATGAGTTTCAGAGCCAACTCTTGTCAAGCTATAGCAGAATTCTTATCTGAAGTTAATGCTTTATATCGGGTGCCTGGGCACCATAGCCAGCTTTCATGATCTGTGATCATAGATACATCTTTTGGGTGTGTCGCGTTGCCCTTTGGCTGCTGAGCATGTCTTTTTTAGCTAGAACTGAGGATTCTCTAAAAGTGACCTTCTGCTTTATAGTTCTGCAATCTTTGACACTAACTAGATCAAGTATTTAAGATACTGCGTTTTCTACAAGCCTGGCATATTTATGACATTGTATTTTGCATGAGAACACTTGCATAAGAGTAGAGTTGTGAAGTGGTTGAAGTCTGTTTTTTGGAGTTCCAAGGTTGTCCAACACCTTCTATTCTCTCTTAGCTCTTTCCCCCCACTCCTCAATAACACAGCTTCCTCTCATTTCCTTTCTCAGCCACCTATGGTTGCTAAACCTAAAAGTCTCTTTTTTTCTTATTCAAATTTATTCTCAGCAAAGGATAGGAACACATTCACAGAAGCTAGTAAATTTATATAAATGAAGTGAGTGAGGTGACGGATATTCTAATTAGCTTGATTTAATCATTCTGCATTGTATACCTATATTAAAGTCTTACATTGTGTTCCACAAATGATTGGTATTACAATTTGTCAAAAATAATCTTAATAATGAAAAAAGTGTGAATGCTGCTTAAAATAGATATTCATAAGGACAGCCCATATTTTCAAACTATAAAAAATCTTAAACTACAGTGGGAAAGTCTGACTGGGCAGTTTCAAGAACAACTGCATTGTCATTGGCACAGAAAGGTATTGGTCCCTGGAAACCTGGGAGTTTGACTTCCTCATTCATCTGCGAGCCCAGCCTTCTTCAGAGGACTCTATGGCCAGCTGAGATTTGACTTCAGGCTGTTCCGTTGCAATATCAACTGTACAAGGCACAGAGGAGGCCCAAGTCACTTGGGAGCAATGGTTGCAGTTTGTTGGGACTAGAGAGGATGAGCAATATGCTTAGAGCATTCTAAATGATGATGCAACGTTTAATATAGTATGCCAAAGACTTGTTAAGTGGCTGTAATTCTTTGATCCTTGATTTTTAGTTTCTAGAAAATGAATACAGGAAGATTCTATGATTCTTTTGAAAAACACATTACCCAGATGAATGTATGACATCAGAATATTGAAATAAATGCTGTATTTACATTTCTATTTTTCAGGATGCTTTAGAATACCTTTATTTATTTATTTATTTATTTATTTATTTATTTATTTTTGTGTACTTCCCTTTCAGCTCCATGTGGTTCACTGGAACTCAGACAAGTACCCCAGTTTTGTTGAAGCAGCTCATGAACCAGATGGACTAGCTGTTTTGGGAGTGTTTTTACAGGTGAGAATCCACTGATTTCATTTGAAATATAGAGCCATATGGGATAAAGAGTTTGAGTCATGGAGTGGACCTTAAACTGCCTTTTAAAAATATTTATTTATTTGAGAGACAGGGGTGGAGCTAGAGAGAGAGAGAGAGAGCACCCTCCAGAGCTCCCCTCTGTTGCTTCACTTCCCAGATATCCTCAACTGCTTAGGCCAGGGGGAAGCTAGGAGCCAGGAACTGAATTCAGATCTCCCACATGGGTGACAGGAACCCAAACACTTGAGCCATCACCTGCTGTTTCCCAGGATGCACAGCAACAGGAAGGTGGAATCAGAAGCATAACCAGGACTCAAACCCAAGCATTTGGAATAGGATGTGGGTACCTCAACTGACATCTTAACTGCTACAGCAAACATCCACCTTTAAACTATTATTTTTAAATTTTGTAAATGAGTTCTAGGCTTAGTATTTCGCCTTTGAAATTAATATTTAAAAAATAATTTAAAACACCGGTCTAAGAGAGTTATTTTATGGTTCTTCTGATTGTCCATTGTTCATTTTTTTGTGACTTGCAGCAGCAGTAGAAGCCACAGTAAGAATAATAGCGGCTGTAATAGCTGAGGTCCTGAGAAGAAAGTTGCTTCTGGGTACTTCCTGATTGCATAGTCTTTAGAGACACAGGACAGAGTGAAGTTCAAGCTCCTGATCCAAGCATGAAGCGCTTGTTCGTCCACAGTGGCCTGTTGTCACAAACGTACTGACCAATTTTTTAAAAATCCTGTTGCATTTCCCTTTGTCTAATATTCCCATGTAGACAGACAACTATTGTTTTCACCACCACCTGGGGACAGGTTGGGCCTCTCAACTCCCACTGTGACTGCATTCTTGTAGGGTGTGCACATTTGCCATGCTGCACATTCTGTGAGTGATGTAACTCCTGGAATTGGAGCTGGGAGAACAAGGGCAAGGGCAGGGAGAGCTGTAGTGCTGTGGATGGCAGCAATTTTCTGCATTTGTTCATCAAGTTAGGATGTGGCATCAGGATCCTGGTCGGCAAAAGAATATACTTTAATCCTGAAGGAGCTGAAACCTTGTGGGGTTTTAAATAGGAGCACCCCTAATGACTGGAAGAGGTATGGGGCTGGGGGAAGATTGCTCCTCTTGATAGATATATTGCTTTGATTAGAAACCTCAAATCCTTTTTGGTTGCAAGTAGGAGATATCTTCATTGAATATTTTGATGCCACCGTAGCCTGATTGGATCTACAGTCTGAATACTTAAAAATGCAGATATTGGCCGGCGCCGCGACTCACTAGGCTAATCCTCCGCCTAGCGGCGCCGCACACGGTCAGTCCCGTGGGTGCGATCTGTCCCGTGCCCTCTCAGCAGCTCTCTGTTGTTGTCCGCGCGGGGAGTGCCACTGGAGGAATGGCCCAAGTGCTTGGGCCCTGCACCCCATGGGAGACCAGGATAAGCACCTGGCTCCTGCCTTCGGATCAGCGCGGTGCGCCGGCCGCAGCATGCCGGCCGTGGCGGCCATTGGAGGGTGAACCAACAGCAAAAGGAAGACCTTTCTCTCTGTCTCTCTCTCTCTCACTGTCCACTCTGCCTGTCAAAAAAAAAAAAAAAAAAAAAAAAAAAAAAAAGCAGATATTGTATTAGTTCCCTCAGCAAGGTTTCATTTCACTCAAGGTAATCTGTATCTTAAACATTCCTAAAGCTAAAGATATAAAGCTATTACTCCTGGGTTTGGAAACAAACAGAAAGTTCAGTACAGGAACCCTGTAATATTATTTTGTTTTTCAGATTCTTCTGTCCTGATAAGACTCTGGTAAAAGAGAAACTTTGTTCTATAACAATCACTGTATGTTCTATGCTGGTTTACGATCTTACAAAATTAAAAATAGCAGCTGAAAGAAATGGTTCCAACTTGATCTGCTACTAAACATTTCTTTTGAAATTTCATGTTTTTAGATTGGTGAATATAATTCCCAACTGCAAAAGATTACTGACATTTTGGATTCCATTAAAGAAAAGGTAAAATGAATTACTGTTTGATAATGACTAACACATTGTTAGTTCTCTCCTGAATTTTCTTATTTTCCTTTAAAGTTTTCGATGACATAGCACACACTTGTCTGCTTTGAAGCGTTTTCAGTACTTGACCAGAAAAGCAGAAGAAACCTTTACCACTTATCTTTTTAAAATTATTAAAGCATTTAAAGTTATCTAAGGTATTAATTTATACATCTATTTATGCATAATTGGTTTCTGTATTGTAATTTTACAGAATAAGTCTTCAATTGTGACGTATTTTAAAGATAACATGTAAAAATAAGTCTATTTAAATAAATCTGTATGGTTTGCTATTTTTCTAAAATCTTTCAGATGAAAGCAAATGTTACGTTAAATATGTAAAAGGAATATATTAAATATTTACATATTATTTTATTGGCTGCATGTTTCTTGAAGTCTCTTCCATTGTAATTTGTGGGAATTCTCTATGTTTTCCCAGGGAAAACAAACTCGATTCACAAATTTTGACCCATTATCTCTGCTTCCACCATCCTGGGACTACTGGACGTACCCTGGTTCTCTGACAGTTCCACCCCTTCTTGAGAGTGTCACATGGATCGTTTTAAAGCAACCTATAAATATCAGCTCTCAACAGGTATATAGCCTTTTCCAGGGTGATCCTGATTCATTCAGAGGATACTGAGCAGAATCTTTCTTTTTTTTAACATTGCCATTCCTTTCTGCTGTGTTAAGAAGCCTGTATTTTCCCAGCTTTAACGAGATGCATGCTTCCTTTTCTTTCTTTCTTTCTTTCTTTCTTTCTTTCTTTCTTTCTTTCTTTCTTTCTTTCTTTCTTTCTTTAAATTTGACAGTTAGTGAGAGAGAGAGAGACAGAGAGAAAGGTCTTCCTTCCATTGGTTCACCCCCAAAATGGCCGCTACGGCTGGAGCCCAAGCATTTGGGCCATCCTCCACTGCCCTCCTGGGCCACAGCAGAGTGCTGGACTGGAAGAGGAGCAACCAGGACTAGAACCCGGTGCCCATATGAGATGCCAGTGCCGCAGGTGGAGGATTAACCAAGTGAGCCACGGCGCTGGCCCTGCTTCTTCTTTTTCTTCTCTGACTTTCTGTGATTAGAAGATGATTTGCTCCTCTCTGACCTCAGGCCCTAGACCTGCTTTACTGTGATCATTAGGACAGCGGGTAGGTGCATTACCCTAAGAAACTGCTGTGCCTGCTAAACTTAAAAAGTTACGTTGTGCACTTAAAAATTTCACAGGGCTGACCGCATATTAAGTGTTCTTACTACAGTAAAAAAGAAGTTGATTTTGTCTGATGCTGACAAAACTTTTGTAGGACTGCCTAAGGGCCTTTGAAGCACTTGCTCTTTTTGTGGAGACATTTACTCACCCGTTTTTCCTGCTCAGTCTTGTTGAGCCCCGTGGTGGGGCCAGCGGTCTGCTAGACTCAGCTAGGAGCCTTGACCATGCAACTGTCCACTCTCCCAGGTGGATGCTGTGCTTCCTAGTTTGTTGTTTTTGTTGTCCTTTTTCAGTTTAGTGCTGCAGTAGCATAGCATGACCATAGTCCAGTCATTTTTGTAGCTCATAAGGTGTTCTGTTCCCGGCTTGCCCACTGGTCCAGCTGTTTATTTTCCCTCCTCATCAGACAAGAGCTGGTTCACCTTTACCAAGATCATTTCAGGCAACATTTCCCCTGGGGTGTTGAACACATTCTATTTTCTGTTGGGTGTTTCTCCTCAGTGACCTTGTCTTTAGGATTGAATACAAGTTATAACCTGGGTTACATTTATTTAAACATTTTATAAAGTTTGGGTAGAAATCCAGAGCTTCACTGGCATTAAAAACTGTTAATTTTTCCATGATTTTTTTTTAAGAAAAATGACCTGCCACCAGTTCACTGGTGATACTAAGGGTGTTCACTTTTCCCCACTTCATGTGATAAGCTATTATTTTTATATTCTTTTGTTAAATTTGGGTATCTTACTATGAAGAGTTCATAAATCATAATGTCAAAGTAGTTAGTATTAAGGGATTGTGTTTTACTTTATATTTCAAATTATTACTTAAAGCTACTTGGAAAATAACTAACTTATTTTTGTATTACAGTCCACTAATGATTTAGAGAATATATTGAAGTACATATTTAGTCCCTTAATAAGAATAAAGTTAACTTTATTAAAAATAATTCCTGCAAGTTCAGGATTTATAACACCCTCACTGTGGATTCACTGCCTTATCTTATTTGAGGCTTACTGAATTAACATTATTAATATGGTTTTTCTATAGTAGAGTATATAAAATAATAGCTGCCTTTTAGAGCTCTAATGTGATTTGTAGTCATTCACTTAAATCTATTCTATCAGGAGCACTGGGAGACCTGTTAATTTTTGCCATATTGAGAAACTTATTTGAACAATAACTCAAATTACTATAATATGATGTTATGGTGGTTTTAAGAGTGTAAGAGGGGTTGGCACTGTGGCATTGCTAGCAAAGCCAGCAAAGCCACCACCTGCAGTGTCAGCATCCCATTTGGGTACTGGTTCTAGTCCCAGCTGCTCCACTTCCAATCCATCTCTCTGCTATGGCCTGGGAAAGCAGTAGAAAATGGCCCAATTCCTTGAGTCCCTGCACCTGTGTGGGAGGCCTAGAAGAAGCTCCTGGCTCCTGGCTTTGGATAGGCCCAGCTCCATGATTGTGGCCATTTGGGGATTGAACCAGTGGGTGGAAGACTCCCTCTACTCCTCCCTCTCTCTTTGCTTCTGCTTCTCTGTGACTCTGCCTTTCAATAATAATTAAATAAATCTTTTCAAAAAATAGTGAAAGAATGAAACAAAAGATATTTTATTAAATATTTTTTGGAAGGCAGAATTACAGAGAGGGACACACAAAACACACACACACACACACACACACGTCTTTTATCTACTAGTTCACTCCTCAAATGATCACAACAGCTGCGGCTCAACCAGGCCAAAGCCAGGAGCTTGGGATTCCATCCAAATCTCCCATGTGGATGGTAGAGTCCCAAGTATTCGAGTCATCTTCTGTTACTTTCCCAGGCGCATTAGCAGGGAGCTGGATTCAAAGTGGAGCATCCAGGACTTGAACTGGTGCTTAAAGGGGATTCTGGTATCACAGGTTAATTTGTTGCACCTACAATGCTGGACCCAAAAGATATTTTAAAAACCTAACCCCAGGCTAGCAATGTGAAAAACACTGGATAAAGTCCAACTGAGGGACGTTTTACAAAATGCCTGGTCGGTACTCCTGAAAACTGTTAAGATCATCAAAAACAGTTAAGTCTGAGAATTGTCACAAACCAGAAATGCCTAAGGAGGTATGACTATTAAGTTATTTCCTATGTGTCGTTCTGGAAGAAAAAAAAAGGCATTAGGTTAAAACAAAGTAAATATTAGTAAAGGAAGGATTTTAGTCAATGAGAGCACATTAATATTAGTTTGCTAATTATAGAAAATATACTATACTAATGTAAGATGTGAGTAATATGGTAAATTAAGCATGGAGCACATGGTAAATATTTGTAGTTACTTCGCAATAATTCTATGAATCTAACACTGCTCTAAAATAAAATATTTATCTAAAAAAATCCAAAACAGGAGTTGACTCAGTATTATTCAGCTGCAGAGTAGGTGCTTGGGACACTTGGATCCCGTATCAGAGTGCCTGGTTTTAGCTACAGGCGTCAGATTCGGCTTCCTGCTAATGTTCTTGGGAGGCAGCAGATGATGTCTCAAGAACTTTAGTTCTTACCATCCAGATGGGAGCCCAGGATGGAGTTCCTGGATCCTGGCTTTGGCTTGGTCTAATCCTGGTTGCTGTAGGTATTTGGGGAATGAATCAGAGGATGAGAGATCTCGCTCTATCTCTGTCTCTCCCTCTCTCTGTGTCACTCTGCCTTTCAATATAAATATTGAATTTATATTTATGGTGAAAATTTCCCAGGTCACAGCAGAGAGCTGGATTGGAAGTGGAGCAGCCGGGACTAGAACCAGTGCCCATATGGGATGCCGGTATTGCAGTCGGTGGCTTTACTCGCTACTCCACAGCGCTGGCCCCTCGTACTAAATTCTTGATATAACTGCCATGCTAGTAAGCAGATATATTGTTTTCTTAGCAGATCTGTCATTTTCTTAGAAGGTTGACTTTTCTCATCAAATCTCTTTGAGTTATATTAAATCATCTAAACTGGGTTACTCAGCTGCTGAAATTCAATATACAAAAAACTTGATTTTTAATCTATTCTTCCTTTTTATTAAAACCTGCCTCTATTTCACTTATGGTATTATCTGCATAGAGTAAAACTCATGAATTTTAAGTGTGTGGTTGCTGATTTTGGTGATTGTATGTAACCATGCAAGAACCACTACAATCAAGATATAGAATAGATTCTTTGGCCAAAGAAGTTTCCTGTATATTTTTGCACTTCACTCCCTTTCCTCATTTATAGTCCCAAGCAATCACAGATATGCTATCACTTGAGTACTGACTTTCCTAGAAATTTATTTAAGTAAATTATACAGTAAATAGATTTTTGTGTTGGATTTCTTTTACTTAGAAAAAATATCTAAAAAATATTTTTCAGATTTCACCCATTCATTATTTTTTTTTTACTTTTATTTAGTAAATATAAATTTCCGAAGTACAGTTTATGGATTACAATGACTTTCCCCCCCATAACTTCCCTCCTACCAGCAACCCTCCCCTCTCCCACTCCCTGTCCCATTCTATTCACATCAAGATTCATTTTCAATTATCTTTATATACAGAAGATCGATTTAGTATATATTAAGTAAAGATTTCAACAGTTTGCACCCACTCAGAACATAAAGTGTAAAATACCGTTTCAGTACTAGTTATAGCATTAATTAACATTGAACAATACATTGAGGGCAGAGATCCTACCTGAGGAGTAAGAGCACAATGACTCCTGTTGTTGACTTAACAAATTGACACTCTTGTTTATGGCGTCAGTAATCTCCCTAGGCTCTAATCATGAGTTGCCAAGGCTATGGAAGGCTTTTGAGTTCGCCGACTAGATCTTATTTAGACAAGGTCATAGTCAAAGTGGAAGTTCTCTCCTCCCTTCAGAGAAAGGTACCTCCTTCTTTGATGGCCCGTTCTTTTTACTGGGAGCTCACTCGCAGAGGTCTTTCATTTAGGTATTTTTTTTTAATAAGTGGATGGATAGACCATATTAAAAAATCTTTTCAATAATTGATGGACATCTGTGTTGCTTCCAATTTTTGAATAGTAGTGATTTGTATTTGCATATTAGGAGTAATTCACATACACAGTTTTGTGTGGCCACGGATATGCTTTAGGTCAATACCTTAGATTGGAATTACTAGGTCCTGCATGTTTAATTTAAAAAAAAAGATTTATTTATTTATTTATTTGAAAGTCAGAGCTATACAGAGAGAGAAGGAGAGGCACAGACAGAGAGAGAATGCGCGTGCACACAAGAGAGGTCTTCCATCCACTGGCTCACCCCCAAGTTGGCCGCAACGGCCGGAGCTGCGCTAATCTGAAGTCAGAAGCCAGGAGCTTCCTCCAGGTCTCTCCACGCAGGTGCAGGGGCCCAAGGATTTGGGCCATCCTGTATTGCCTTCCCAGGCCACAGCAGAGAGCTGGATTGGAAGTGGACCAGCCAGGTCTTGAACCGGCACCCACATGGGATGCCAGCACTGCAGGAGGCAGCTTCACCTGCTACACCACAGCGCAGGCCCCTGCATATTTAATTTTATAAGGTGCTGCCATAATGTTTCCTTCTTTCTTTCTTTCCTTCCTTCCTTCCTTCCTTGGTTTATTTATTTATTTGAAAGACATAGAATTTGCATTTTATAGTTCACTCCTTAGAGTCCTACAATATCCTGACTGGGCAAGGCTTAAGCCTAGAGCCCAGAACTTCTTCTGGGTCTCCTACATAGGTTGCAGGGATCCAAGTGCTTGGACCATCAGCTGCTGCCTTCCTACATGCATTAACAGGAGGCTAGATTGGAAGTGGTAGAGCCAGGACTTGAACCTGTACTCTGATATAGGATGTGGATTCCCAAGGAGAGGCTTAACTTATTGCACCACAATGCCTACCCCTGCCATATTGTTTTCTTTTCTTTTTTTTTTTTTTTAAGATTTGTGTTTTATTTATTTGAAAGACAGTTACATGCCATATTGTTTTCTAAAGTGCTATACCATACTGTATTTCCACCATCAATGCATGACATTTCTAGTTGCTCCACAGCTGTTCCAGCATTTGGCACTGTCAATTTTCTGACTTTAAGCTATTCTAATGGCTATGTGTGCTTCTAATTTGCATGTATCTGATGACTAGTGGCTTTGACCATTTTTCCGTATACTCATCCTCTATGAATATATTTTCTTTTTAAAATATCAGTTCAAATCATTTCCCCATGTTTAAATTGGGTTGACTTCTCACTGTTGAGTTGCAAGATTTCTTTACAGAGTCCAGATCAAAGTGCTTTCTTGGGTATGGATTTTGCAAAAGTGTTTTTCAGTTGTTAACTGTGTCTTTTGAAGAAAAAAATGTTTTTAACATGCTGAAGTCCATTTTGTCAATTTATCTTTTAAAATGTATGCTTTTGGTTTACTGTTTAAGTAAACCAAATAAGCCACATCCCTTTACCTTTGCTTTAAGTAATGGTTAGCTCTTACATTTAAGTTGTTGAGTGCTTTTGAGTTAATGTATGGTGTACATCATTGTCTCCATATTTTTCCTGATATTTTTATTATATATGGATTAGACCTTTTACTGTCACTTAACAGGTCCCTGAGACTCTACTTTTAAAAATTCTTTTATTGCTGTTTTTCACTATGGGAATTTATATAATTTCTGTTGCTATGTATTCAAGTTCATTTGCTCTATCTTCTGTCAAGTAAATTTGGGTGTTAATTCTATCCAATGAATTTTTCACATTAGAAGCTTTATTTCTAAATTTTCTGTTTTGTTCTTTATTTTTATTTCTCCATTGAGACTTTTCATTACTTGGCTGAGATCTCACATGCATTAAAAAGATGCTTTGCTTAACTTCATATTATCCTCAAGTAGTTATAAAAGCCAGTTTAAAAGTGTTGTAGACCTCAAAATTTGTTTTTTCTTGGGTTGATCTCTGTTGAATTCTCTTTCATTGAGAATGTGTTCAATTGTCTTGATTCTTCACATATTGAGCAATGTTTTATCATATTTTGAATTATAAGAACATTAAGTTGCAAGGATCTGGATTATGTTTTTTTTCTGATGAATATTTTTTGTTTGCTTCTTTGTTTTAACAGGTAATTTTCTTGGCTAAACATGAGCTGCAAAAAAATTTTTTTTCTTGTGCCACAGCTCTGGTCTCAGTTCAGGTGATCTGCCTGGCGTCTATTCCCTGCATGCATGGTTTATAGCTCATTCAGAGACATGAATAGAGAGGTGTGCCTGTTGCAGCTGTGTGCACCTTACAGGCTGTGCTCAGCTCCAGGCTCAAAGTTAAAGAGACAAGATTTTACTTGTAGTGCTTCCATCTCTCCTTCAAGCGAGCATGAACTCTTCACCGGGGACCCTCTTCATCTGTTCATTCTTCAGTATCTCTAACTCATTGCTTCTTGTATTATGTATGAGCTTATACCTATTTTCTACAAGGACATTTTCTGCAGGATTTTAGTTTGATATACCTGGAAGCAAAACCCGGATGGCTTTTTTTCAAATAATAAAATGTTATGGTTTGTAATTAATGATATTTAATGATCTAGGAGTGATTTCCTTTACTTCTGCATCTCTAGACTATATGTAAGATGAGGGAAGAATTCATTTATCTCAATATTAATTTCAGCCTACCATGTAAACTTTGTATCATCAATTTTAGAATTAAATTTCTAATTTGTAGAGGACTGTACAAGTCACTTCTAGGATTGTGCTACAGTTCTGATATGGTTTGAGTGTGAACTTCAAAGGTTAATGTGCTGGAAGCTTGGTCCCAGTATGGCAGTGTTGCTTATTTTTACTCTTACTCAATTTTGGCAGGCAGTAGAGTACTATTAAAAATGCTTGAGCATGAGCATGACCAAAAGTTATTTACAGTACTATTGGGAAAGAATATTTCAGCTTACTGGGGTTATTCCACAAGGAAATTAGAAATTCAGTGGTTAGAGCCAAGGAAACCAGCAAAACAGGTCCTACTTACCTCAGCCTCAAGGTTTAACCAGGGACGCTGCTGCCAGGAACAGTGTAGATGCTGTCAGCCTTAGTGACAGAGAGGTCAGGTTTTCTGCGTGAGTGCAGTTTGGAGTCACCTGAGAGAGTGAGATGGGGAGACACCAGCTGGTGATGCACTTTGCAAGGTCAGTGCTGTGGCAGAGGACATCTGAGCTAGCAGGAGCAAATACAAGCAGGGACTGGCAGGTGAGGCGGTCTGCCTAGCTGGCTCAAATGACTGGGAGAGCTTGAGTCATGGAGGGAAGGGGTTTGATGAGACATAAATACAGGTTAAGGGACTCTTGCCAAGATGCCAGCCTGTTCAGAGAAAGACCTAAAGTTAGGTCCTGTTCCAGATTGATGAGGCTGAACTGTTGCCAAGTTAGGAAGCGATGATCAGAGAGGGGTTGAATGGCAGGAGCAATGTGGAAGGAAAATAAAGTCAAGGTCTTCAGAAGAATCAGTGATATTACAAGGAAGGTGGGTTGTGCTTGGTAGGGCTTGCGAACCAGCACCCTGAGTCAGGTTTGCTACACAATCACCTGGAATGGCTTCTGCAGAGGGCTGGAGTCTTCCCTAGCTCTGGATGTTAGATTTTTACTATATTTTGCTACTTGATCACACCCGAGAGTCAGTAAATCTCATCTAGTTTTGGCTATAATAATTTGGTTTAATGAAACACAAGGAAAAGGAATTTGGAAACATTTTTCTATTGCTTACTGAATCTGTATCCACATCTCAAAATATCACTAGTGGAAACATAGTTACTTGCATATAGATAGATGGTTCTATCTCCAAAATGCATGGTTCCACACTGTTGTCTTATTATAATCTCTATCTTCTCTGCCCCCCGTTCTGATTAGTACTGTACAAGAAATATTCTAGACCTTGGGTCAGTGATGATCATGGAAACCTGAATGGTGTGTCCTCTGAATTTGACTGACTCTGAGATTAGATGATCACTAACATTTAGATAGAATTTCTCATTCCTGATGACAATTTGTCTTCAACAACAACAAAAAATACCAAAAACTCAACTGTATTAATTGGCATTATATTTTTGAGAAGATAGAATTACTCAGGTATTTTATCCATCTTTATTTTACTACTGTAAACCCATCTTAACAAATAATAGTAAACCACTAAAATTTTAAAATTTTAAAAAGCATAATAGAAAACTTTCCAGCAATTAAAATAGTGACATAAGTCTGTATTTAGATGGACATGCAAAGATGCCTAGATTATATTAAGTGAAAAAAAAATCTGATTTCAAACTAGCATATACAATTGTGTTCAATTTTTTACCAAAATGTGTGTGTGTGTGTGTGTGTGTGTGTGTGTGTGTGTTTACATTCTCTGGTCTCTACATATGTATTCTTAAAACCATGTTCTAAGTGTTTCCCCTTTCCTACTCTGATCTTCAAATAGAAAATGCTGTATACTTAATTTTTGAACCCATAACCTAAATTTTGAACCCGTGACCTATACTAGAGATTTTCGTTGCATTATTTTCAGTGCCTGGTAGAGGAAAGGTCATGTGTTTCTTAATTTTTCTACGCAGAGCAAGTATGATTTTTTACGCTGAAACCAACTCTTCTCTTTCCTTAATAGCTGGCCAAATTCCGCAGTCTTCTGTGTTCAGCCGAGGGTGAATCAGCAGCTTTTTTGTTGAGCAATCACCGTCCACCACAGCCTCTGAAGGGTCGCAAAGTGAGAGCTTCCTTTCATTAAATGTTGCCCCCAGCGGACCACCCAGACTGTGGAGAGCACCTGAGCAAAACAAAACAAATCAAAACACAAAAATCCCTACCAACAGTTCCTAGAATTCTAATTATTGGGTGTTACTTTACTATCAGCTTCAGCACCACAAAGAGAACCAGATTTCTTTAATTAAACTACTTGAAATCATGTTTCTTAGATTTGCATTTACAGATATTCAAGCAGTAAACATTGTTTGGCATATATTGAAACTCATGAAATACGTCTGCTTCAACCTGCCTGGAAACGGGGCCTACATTGCCAGCGTCAGAATGTGTTCAGGTTTTTACCTTAGATGCTGACATAGTCACAGCTCTCCGTGCTGTTAAGTGAAAAGCAAATACTCATTCTCCAAATGAAATAATTGTGATATATTTTTCTAAACAAGTCAGTCTACATAAAAAAAGATATTATTTCCTTTTGAAGTGAACTTCTGCCACGATTATGCTGCGGATTCTGATTGCATGGTATCTTTTATAAAGTGAGTAATATGAGAGTTCTGAGGGATGAGATATAGTTACTTCTTGTGTTTATTCCACAAATCATTGATCCATGAAGTTTTGATAAGGAATTCCTCAGGATAGAAATGATTATTTACACTATAATGAATTATGTCATATATCATATTTACTTTGTATTGTCAGTTGGCTAATAATTGACAGGATGCAGTCCTTGCCAATTTATAGCATAAACACAATTTGAAACTAACAGCTTAGCCAGTGTTAGTGCAGGCAGACCTGCCTTCGGGCATAAAGAATGAATTGCCTACTTTTGTCCTGTGTTTTGGCAACAGAGCAATCCTGTGTTGGAAATTTTTCTGTCAACTGGTGGAAAAAACTCAATTGAGTCTCATATAAAAATACAATCATTCTCCTGTCTCTCCCTCTCTCTGTCACTCTGACTTTCAAAAAAATAAAATGTATCTTTTTAAAAAATATCATCAGTTCATAAATCCGTCAATCCATTTCCTTGGCATAGCCCTTTTCTCCTTTTGTACATGTCCCTCAATGTCTTAAGCAGTTTTGTAATGGGGTGCTCAACGTTAGTTTTAATCTATTATCTTTTCTTTATTTGTCTTTCTGTTTTGAGTGAAGGAGGATGAGGCTGGTTTTCCTTTTGCCCTCTCTGATACAAATGGAGTAGCACTAAGCACTAACTTCATTACCACATTTGAGACTGGAACATGTGTAATACTTACATCATCCATCTGTGTTTCCTAGATTGTGATGATTTGTTTCAGATATTTTTCTTCCTTTGGATGTCAGTGTTAACAATTCATGTTTTCTCTGCGGCAAAAAATAACATACATGAAGGATCTCTGTGAGTGAGACCCCATTGGAAAGAAGGGGCTATCAAAGAAGGATGTACTTTTCTCTGAAGGGAGGAGAGAACTTCCACTTTGCATATGACGCTGTCTAAATAACTACGGAGTTTGTAGACTCAAAAGGCCATAGCCTTGGCAGCTCTTGTCAAGAGCTTCGGGTGGTCACTGATGTCAAAAATAAGAGTTGTTAATTGTTAAGTCAACAACAAGAGTCATTGTGCACTTAATCCCCATGTTAGACCTCTGTCCTTAGTGAGGTGTACTATGAGAATTAATGGTAAAACCTGTATTCAAACAGTACTTTATATTTTGTGTGTTTGTGTGGGTGCAAACAATGGAAATCTCTACTTAGTATAGAGTTGGTCTTCTGTATATAAAGTGAATTAAAAACGAATCTTAATGAAAAATGGAATGGGAGGGGGAGTAGGAGGTGGGATGTGAGTGGGGGTGGGAGGGTGGAATGGGGGGAAGAAACACTACATCCCTAAAAGTTGTACATATGAAATTTGTAGTCATTAAATAAAAACCTTAAAAAAGCAATTCATGTTTCTGTAATATTTTTCTTGATAGAATGTTGAGTACCATGAAATTCTGCAATAATAATGTATATTGCTGTGTAAGGAACTCATGAAGATTAAAGCTGATATTTTGGTCATTGTTATTTTCCCATCACTCTTTCTATGTTGAGACATTGCTGAAGATTGATACATAATAAATATTTAGTTAACTGAATATTTTAAAATTTATAATTGCTATCTTTAATAAGTATTGAATATAAGGAGTGTTTCTTATTAGTACTTATTGTAAGAGGTTTAATATGTATTATTTGAAGAAGAAACACTTTTGAAGAGATAATATTTTAATTATTGTATTAATTCATATATAGTGCATTTGATCTCAGAGAGGTAACTAACAAACCTAACTTTTGTAATCAGAAGTTTTAATGGTTTTAAAAATACCAGTGTTGCATGAGAAGGCATTTATTTAGTTTGTGAAGATACCTTGCAAAGTATCCTAGTGAGGGAAAGCAGCCTTTTTTCTCAGAGAACTTAAGTAATTCTAGCTGGAGGGGTGTGTAGGATGGGGATTCTATTAGCATATGTGACAGTTACCACTTTGTAACTAACGGTTTCTGCTGCAGTATTGCATTGGTTCTGTGGTACAGATTGCACCACAGTGGACTAAAAAATTGTGCAAGGTGCTTATTTCCATGATTTTTAATTTATATATCTCTTAAAAGTATGATGCCTGAATGTATGATAAAATTATTATATTGTCCCTTTTTGAAAAATCAGATATGGGGGCCAGCATTGTGGCATAACAAGTTAAGCTGTGGCCTTTAGTGCCAGCATCCCATATGGTTGCTGGTTTGAGTGCCGGCTGCTACATTTTCCATCTAGCTCCCTGTTAATGTGCCTGGAAAAGCAGCAGATGATGGCCCAAGTGCTTGGGCTCCTGAATCCATGTGGGACTCTGGGACGAAAGTCCTGACTCCTGCCTATGGTCTGTCTCAGCCCTGGCTTTTGTAGCCATTTGGGGAGTGAACCAGCAGATGGAAGATCTCTCTCTCCCTCTGCCTGTCCATCTCTGTAACTCTGCCTTCCAAATAAATAAATAAATCTTAAAAAGCTTAAAAATTTAAAGAGTTATAAATGGTGGTTTAGATTTCTTTTGTTTCCCACAATATCTATTGGTTTTATGTCTGTTAAATATTTTGTATGTCAATGTATATTGGATTCAAACACAATAAACAAAATGAGATGAACTTTATCTTTTTCATGTTGTATAAAGAACTAGTTTATACTTGTTACTTAGGAAATAATTTCAAATTCAGAGAAAGATTGTAAACAGTACAAACCTTTTTTCCCCCAAAGAAACCTTTTATTAAAGGAATACAAACCATGCGTTTCATAAGTACAACATTAGGAATATAGTGATTCTTTCTACCATACCCGCCCTCCCACCCCTACTCCCACCCTTCTTTCTCCCCCCTCTCCCATTCCCAGTCCCATGCTTCACTAAGATACATTTTCAATTAAATTTATATACAGAAGACAAACTCTATACTAAGTAAAGAGTTGAACAATTTGCATGAAAAGAAACAAAAAACCTCTTCCTCAACAGTCCAGACACTTGTTGTTCAAAGTCATTGCATCTTGAAGTTAATTTCACTTCTCCTCCTCCTCCTCCACTTCTTTCTTTCTTTCTTTCTTTCTTTTACTTGAAAGTCAGAGTTACACACAGAGAGAAGGAGGGGAAGAAAGAGAGAGGTCTTTCATCTGCCGGTTCATTCCCCAATTGGCCACAATGGCCAGAACTGCACTGTTCTGAAGCCAGGAGCCAGGAGCTTCTTCTGGCTTTCCCAGGCCATAGCAGAGAGCTGGAATGGAAGTGGAGCAACTGGGTCTTGAATGGTGCCCATATGGGATGCTGGCAATGCAGGTGGTGGCTTTACCTGCTATGCCACAGCGTTGGCCCTGAAACTTAATTAACTTTAAAGAAGCACCCAGGAATGATTCATTTTCTTTGCGAGCACTCAGACATAACGATGACTTATGGGACACAAGGATATCCTTAATACATTAAAAGAAAGTAAGTCCTTGAGAGCTAGTTTTATCGTTAATTAAGAAAGCACCTAATAAAACAAGCAATGGAGTTGGACACTTAGGCATAACTAAAACTTATGAAACATAAGAATATCCTCCACTTAATACACTAACATTAAATAAGTTTTGAGGACAAGTTTTATTGTTATCTCTCGTAATACAACTCTTTGAGATCAGAGGTCCTGGATGGCAAGTTAGTGTACAGTGACTCATGTTGTTAAATTTTTTTTTTTTTTGGACAGGCAGAGTGGACAGCAGAGAGAGAGACAGAGAGAAAGGTCCTCCTTTTGCCATTGGTTCACCCCTAAGTGGCGGCTGCGGCCAGTGCGCTGTAGCCGGTGCACCGCACTAATCCGAAGCCAGGAGCCAGGTGCCTCTCTTGGTCTCTCACGCTGGCACAGGGCCCAAGCACTTGGGCTATCCTCCACTGCGCTCCGGGGCCACAGCAGAGAGCTGGACTGGAAGAGGAGCAACCGGGACAGAATCCAGCACCTTGACCGGGACTAGAACCCAGGGTGCTGGGAGTATTTATTGAAAGAGTTACACAGAGAGAGGAGAGGCAGAGAGAGAGAGGTCTTCCATCTGATAGTTCACTCCCCAGTTGGTTGCAGTGGCCGGAGCTACACCAATCCGAAGCCAGGAGCCAGGAACTTCCTCCAGGTTTCCCACATGGGTGCAGGGGCCCAAGGACCTGGGCCATCTTCTACTGCTTCACCAGGCCATAGCAGAGAGCTGGATCAGAAAAGGAGTAGCTGGGGCTAGAACTGGCGCCCATATGGGACGCTGGTGCTTTAAGCCAGGGTGTTAACCCACTGCGCCACAGTGCCAGCCCCTTCCTATTGTTAATTTAACAATTAACACTCATATGTATGACATCAATGATCACCCAAGTCTCTTGACATGAGCTGCCTAGGCTATGGAAGCCTTTTGAATCCACAAACTCCATCAGTACTTAGACAATGCCATAAGCAAAGTGGAAGTTCTCTTCTCCCTTCAGAGAAATGTACCTCCTTCTTTGATGACCGTTTCTTTCCACTGGGGTCTCACCCACTGAGGTCCTTCATGTAGGACATTTTTTGTCACAGTGTCTTGGCTTTCCATGCCTGAAATTCTCTTGTGGCCTTTTCAGCCAGATCAGAATGCCTCAAGGGCTGATTCTGAGGTCAGAGTGCTACTTAAAGTGATTGTCATTCTATGAGTCTGCTGTGTGGACTGATTCCTATGTCACTCTTTTTAATTAATTTTAATTATTTTTTAATTTAATTATTTTAAGCAGTCACTCTTTTTTAATTCTATTATTATTACCAGACTTAATCCTATTTATATGATTACTTTAACCCTTAATCCTATCCATATGATCACTTTAACACATAAGATGGTATTTTTAACACCCAGCTTAAGGGGAATTGGGATCCCATGGCAAGTTTATAAACTGTGCTCTTAGAAGTATGTCCATAGGAATGTGTGCAGAACTACACAGCTTTACAGTTAAAGTTTGTATACTTCTCAAATACAACTTTGGGAACATGGTGATTCTTCCAACCAAGCCCACTCTCCCACCCATACTCCCACCACTATTCCTCCTCACTCTCTATTCTTACTCTTATTTTTAACTAAGATCTATTTTCAATTGACTTTATATACATATGATTAACTCTATGTTAAGTAAAGTGTTCAACAAATAGTATTTTAAAAAAAAACCCTGTTCCTTATCAGTCAAGACAAGAGCTGTTCAAGTAATTGCTTCAAAAGTGTTAATTTCACTTCTACAAATTGTCTTTTAGGTTCTCTATTAGTTCTCACAGATCAGGGAGTATTTGTCCCTTTGGTATTTGTCCCTTTGGGACTGGCTTATTTCAGTAAGTATGATGTTTTCCAGATTTATCCATTTTGCTGCAAATGATGATTTCATTTTTATTTTTTACTGCTGTGTAGTATTCCATAGTGTGCATATCCCATAATTTCTTTATCCAGTTTTCAACTGATGGGCATTTTAGTTGATTCCATTTCTTACCTATTGTGAATTGAGCTGAACTAACCATGGGGTTACAGATAACTCTTTTTTTCATTTTTAAAGGTTTTATTTATTTATTTATTTGACAGGTAGAGTTACAGACAGTGAGAGAGAGAGAGAGAGAGACAGAGAGAAAGGTCTTCCTTCCATTAGTTCACTCCCCAAATGGCCACAATGGCCAGAGCTACACTGATCTGAAGCCAGGATCCACGTGCTTCCTCCCAGTCTCCCATGCGGGTGCAGGGGCCCAAGCACTTGGGCCATCCTCCACTGTTTTCCTGGGCCACAGCAGAGAGCTGGACTGGAAGAGGAGCAACTGCGACTAGAACCCAATGCCCATATGGGATGCTGGTGTGACAGGCAGAGGATTAACCTAGTGTGCCACGGTGCCAGCCCCACAGATAACTCTTTCATATGATGATTTCATTTCCCTTGGGTAAATTCCTAGCATTATCTGTATACAAAGGCTGTTGATTTTTGTGTGTTGATTTTATATCCTGTTATTTTACTAAACACTTCTATGAGTCCCAATAGTCCCTTAGTGGAGATTTTTGGATCCCCTATATACAGAATCATGTCATCTGCAAATAGAAATTGCTTGATTTCTTCCTTCCAAAATTGTATCCCTTTTATTTTTTTTCCTTGCCTAATGGCTCGGGCTAAAAATTCCGGGACTATATTGAATAGCAATGATGAGAGTGGGCATCCTTGTTTACTTCCGGATCTCAGTGGAAATGCTTCCAACTTTTCCTTATTCAACAAGATGTTGGCCATGGGTTTGTCATAAATTGCCTTGATTGTGTTGAGGAATGTTCCTTCTATGCCCAATTTGCTTAGAGTTTTCATCATGAAAGGGCATTGTATTTTATCAAATGCTTTTTCTGCATCTATTGAGATAATCATATGGTTTCTCTTCTGTAGTTTGTTAATGTGATGTATCACATTGATTGATTTGTGAATGTTGAATCATATCTGCATATCAGGGATAAATCTCACTTGGTCTAGGTGAATGATTTTTTTTTAAGATTTATTTATTTATTTGAAAATAAGTGTTACACAGAGAGAGAAGGAGAGGCCGAGGCAGAGACAGAGAGGTCTTCCATCCACTGGTTCACTCCCCAGTTGGCTGCATAGGCTGGAGCTGCATGGATCTGAAGCTTGGATCCAGGATCCAGGAGCTTCTTCTGGGTCTCCCACATGGGTGCAGGGGCTGAGGGCTTGGGCCATCTTCTACTGCTTTCCCAGGCCACAGCAGAGAGCTGAATTGGAAGTGGAGCAGCCGGGACTTGAACTGGCATCCATATAGGATGCTGGCACTGCAGGCAGCAGCTTTACCCACTACACCACAGCGCCGGCCCCATTGAATGATCTTTTTGATGTGTTGTTGGATTCGATCGGCCAGGATTTTGTTGAGGCTTTTTGCATCTATGTTCATTAGAAAAATTGGTCTGTAGTTCTCTTTCTCTGTTGCATCTTTCTCATGATTAGGATAAGGAGATGCTGGCTTCATAGAAAGGATTTGGGAGATTTCCCTCTCTTTTAATTGTTTTGAATAACTTGAGAAGAATTGGAGTTAGTTCTTTTATAAATGTCTGGTAGAATTCAGCAGTGACTCTCTCTGGTCCTGGGCATTTCTTTATTTGGAGGGCCTTTATTACTGATTCAATTTCTGTCTTGGTTGTGGGTCTGTTTAGGTTTTCTATGTCTTCATTGCTCAATTTAGGTAGTTTCTATGTGTCTAAGAATCTATCCATCTCTGCTAGATTTCCCAGTTTGATGGCATATAACTCTTTGTAGTAATTTCTGATAATTCTTTTTATTTCTGTGGTGTCTATTGTTACATTTTCTTTTTAGTCTCCAATTTTATTGATGTGTGTCTTCTTTTTCCTTTTTTTGGTTAGTTGGGCCAATGGTGTGTCAATTTTGTTTATTTTCTCAAAAAATCAGCTCTTCCTTTTGCTGATTTTTCATAATTTTTTCATTCAATTTTGTTTATTTCTTTTCTAATTTTAACTATTTCTTTTATCCTACTCTTTTTGGGTTTGGTTTGCTGTTGTTTTTCTAGATCCTTAAGATGCATTGACAGCTCATTTATTTGGTGTCTTTCCAATTTCTTGATGTAGGCACCTATTGCTATTTCCTCTT